CCTGGTGGGGACCCTGGGCACCCGTGTTCCACAGAGGGTTTGGCCCTCAGCAGCCACTTGCTGTGTACATGTCCCTGTGGAGGATGGGATGCTCTGGGTACATCCACACATCCTCACCTCCGTTGGCTGCTATTTAAAGAGCCTCTGACCAGGCAATGCCCCACTGGCCCTTTCCACCGCGCTCGAGGCATGGCTGGCCAGCCAGCATGGGCCTTGGGTCTCCTGGACAGCTGCGTCTCACCTCCCATGCTGCTAGACACACAAGGCACAGCGCCTGGATGTGTAGCTCATCCTCCTTTTGGTCGTGGCTGTTGACAGTGGAGTCAGCACGACTGCATGGGGTGAGAACTCCTCCTTGCCCATGCACCTGCTGCGTGCTGTTTCTCTGATCCTTCTCTTCAGGGGACCCCAGCTCTTCTCTTTGCAGTAATCGCATAGCGAGGATAACCAGTTTGGAAAGATCCAGATCTTTACTGCAGAGCCTGCCGGACATCATCTTAATGGAATGGAAAAGAACTCAGGGCCTAGACAGACCTTCCAGAATCTTCTAGTCCATTCCCCAGCCTCCAGGCACTGCATATTGGAACACAGAGGACTTGGGCATATTCCTATCGCTCCCCTCCTGCAATGGGAGCTGTTTGTTCTTCCTGCAGGGAAGGTGGCAAAAGCTGGTTACCTGCATCAGGTAGCTGATGGTGGTAACAAACCACCCCAGGTTCTTGGTAGTGGCTTTTACCAACATGCATTGATTTCTTGCTCCTTCTACTACACTGCAGGTCAGCAGGGGATTTGGTCTAAGCCATCATCACCTGGGACCCAGGCTGAGGGCCTGCCCCAGCTGCAGCATCAGCCGTGGCCGAAGGAGGAGGTCACAGATCCCGTACCAGCTCTTAGCGGCCCTGCCTCCATGTGCCATTTGTTGCTTCCATTCAGCATTTCACTGGCCAAGCAAGTCCTGTGGCTAGGCCTGATTTCAAAGGGGAAGAAGCAATCTCATCTCTTTGGTGCCAGGAATCCTGGCGAATGGACTCTGCATACTGGCTGCTCCTGTCCCCCATCGTGGTCCCGAGTTCCCGTCGTACCGTGTGGGTGCGCATTCTCTGAGTCTAGGGTGGAATGTCTTCCACTCCACCCCAAAGGCCTGTGTAATACACACTTCTGGGGGATTTTGTTCACATCTGGACCTATTATCCATATGAGCAACAGACCACCCCAAAACTTAGTGGTTTCATGTGACAAAATTCCATAGAACTACACCCACCCACCCACCCCCACACACAAGAAGTGCCTTAATGAGGTCTGGGCCTGAGTTAGTGTATCAAGGTCAATTTCCTGGTTTTGACACTATGCCACAGTTATGTGGGGTATTATTCTTGGGGGGAGCTGGGTGAAGGATACATGAGAAGTCTCTGGGCTATTTTTGCATCTTCTTGTGGATCTTAAACTATTTCAAATTAAAAAGTTATAATAGTAGTAATACGGAGTTAGTGGCTGAACACAGCAACAGTGCAGTGACTCATGACTGCCATTTGGGCAGTGCTGGGTGGGAACAGCTTATCCCTGCTCACATGGGACTGGCAAGAGTGGCTTCACTCATGCATCTGGTGTGCCAACTGGGCTGCTGGAACAGCTGGGGGCAGGCAGGCATCTGTCCCCACAAAGTCTCTCCAGCAGGGCAGCTGGGCACTTTACATGGTGGCTCTGAGCCCAAGGGGTGCAAAGCAGAAACGAGCAGGCCTGGGCTGGCTCCGGCCAGCATCCCTCTGACCATTGCCCTGTGGTCAAAGCAGTCGCAGAATCAGCCCAGATCCAAAGGGGGAAGAGGTAGACGCCGCCTCCTGATGGGAGGGTGGCAGAGCATGTGTGGCATCTTCAGCTCACTGCTGTGTCAGAGGCTTCTCGATTTGCCACCTTGGCTCCAGTCCAAGTCCCTCACCTGTGCTGTGGTGGGTGGAGGCTGGAGAAGTGAATGGAAGGAACTGGCATCAGCCCTGCCGAGAGAGAGCGCTCCAGAGAGTGCCCCAGACTCCGGGGCAGTGCTGGACTCCCACCCAGGGCTCAGCCCATTTCACCCCTTCGAAGCCCCCACTCCTGCCCCCTTGGCAGCAGCGGGATGCACTTCCCCAGCCCAGCCCCGCCTGCTGGCGAGTCTGTTTTGCACATTCTGGTGTTTGCAATCAGAAAGTTCAGCGGCCCTTCCAGTCTGCTTAAATTAGTCCCTGTGAAAACCAAATCATTTCATTTGCAGAGAAGGGCTTAATTGCAAGGGGAAGGAGGCAAAGGGAATTCTGTTGCCTGTTTTCATTGAAGAAAATTGCTGTACTTTCCCCTGTCTCCTTCCTTAAACAGAAGCGGCTCAGAAATTGGGCTGTAATCACCAGTGATACCTCTGCTCCCTTTCTTCTCAGAGCTTGTTCAGTTCCTCTGTTCCTGAGACACTGCTCCGGACTGTCCCACCAGCTTGCAGCCTGGTCCCTGCAGGAGGCAGCCCCTCCACGGTGGCCTGCAGCCTCCACACCCCACTGCCCGGGTTAGGGTTCATCCTTCAGGTCACGGGGCCTCAGCCCTGGACTGGCTCCGACTCTTGGCAGGAGGAAACGTCCTGTCACTTCCATTAGAAATCCTGGCCAATCTGCTCCGAGCCCTCCCTCCAGGAGGGGAAGGAGAGAGCCATGTGGGGACTTGGGAAAAGAGCAGACAGGTGGAACAGCCAGTGTGGAGGCTTGGAGGCAGCAGTGGGCCTGGTCAGGGTGAGGGCAGCAAGGTGTATGGCCTGAGCAGAGCGGGGGTGAGCATGAGGGCAGGCCAGGGGAGCCTCCTAGAGCCTCTCTGAGGTCCTGGCTCAGCGGTGGTTTTACTGTCCTGGTGAACCCAAGGCAACTCGACAAATCATGAGTGGCTCCCCTTACTTTGGTGAAGGGAAGAGAGCAGGGCCGAGAACACAGGCTCTGGAGCTGGTCTGTCTGGGTTCAAACCGCAGTTCCACTACTTGCCCGAACGACCTGTGCCTCAGTTTCCCCCACCCCATATAAAGGAAAGAACAGCTATAGCATGGGGATGTTGTGTCATTCAGTGGGCTGCAGCTCACTATGAGCATGCCATGATGCTATCATGTTCATTTTACCATTTCTTCCTTAATAACGTCCCCTGTACAGGGATAAAGGGATTGGTCAGCCCAAGGTTCCAGCCAGTAAAGGACAGAACTGGTCCTGAGGATGCTGAGTCCCCACCTCCACACCACCAGTCGCTCCCTGGGGTGCAGCACCAGGTGGCATGCTCCCCCCCCACTCATCCCCTCTGCCTCTCTTTTTCTGACTGCACCATGGGGCCCCTCTGCCCAGATTCTCTCCTTCTCTCTAGAGCTTTCTCCGGACGGGGTGGAGAAGCCTGCCTGTCTGCCTGAGAGGGCTGGTCGGAGCAGTTGGTGGTTGCCGCCTGACCGCTCCCCTGCCCCTTCCCTTTGGTGGATGCCCAGGAAATAAAGGAATTGAAGGCCGCACACCTGCCTCCACAAAGGGATTTGTGTGTGTGTGTGTGTGTGTGTGTGTGTGTGTGTGTGTGTGTGTCTCAAAGTCAATGGTGTATTAATTAAGGGGAACAGCTGCTACTGCAGTTCTTCTGATAAGTCAGTGACAAATGGCCGTGTTTACCTTTCTCCTGAGCAGAGGCTCCGGGAGATGGCCTGGAGCTCCTGGGTGGATGTCCAGGGCTGAGATTTGTGGGGTACAGCCTCTCCCTCCCTCCCCCGCCTCCAGCTTCTGTCTCTGTGCCACCAAGCCCAAGAGGGCTGTTTGTCACTGAGGAAAGACAGGCCGGTGGACTGGGGAGCCGTGGAGGGGACTGGGCCGGGCAACGGAAACTTCTCAACGATGGCTCCTACTCAAAAAGAGGCCCTTGGACCCCCTCCTCGGGCCGATCCCACCATCCTGCCCTTCCCCTTGTGCACTTAGAGCTGCTTGAAAGAAGAGACTTGGCCCTTCAAAGTGGAGGAAGGCTGCAGGGCCGGATCTGAGGCTCTGCGGCAGAGGATGCGGATGCACCCCGGGGCTTTGTGCGCTGCAGGAAGGCCGGGGCTGGCTGCCCAGGTTGGGGGGGGGGGCGGCCTTTTGTTATTTCACTTATTTTGATCTCGCTCCCGCTCTGCAAACAGCCTCACAGAAATAGAGCCCTGCATTAGCTCCCTTCCCAGCTTAAGACAAAACAAGGCAGAGGGAAAGCCTTTCCCTGAAAAACAGAAAAGGCAAGAGAGGTGGGCTCAAGTTTGTCTGGGTTGTGTTTTCTGGGTGCTTCGACTCCATCTCCCACAGTGCGAAGGAAGGGCTGGGTCTCCGAGCCAACCCCAGTGTCTCCGCTGGTCCCCATGCCCACTGCGCCCTCAGGGTAGTGGCTATCCTGGCGGAGATCAGTGGGACCCCGGAGACCCAGACCCTGCGGAGCCCTGGAGTCCTGCCCGTCCTGCGCCCCCCCAGATGGCACCTGGGCCTCTGCAGCCGTGGCAGGGGCAGGTGCAGAGACTAGGCTGCAGGGGACACGATCTCCGCCTCCTCGGAAGGCACCACCAGCTGCCAAGGAGCCCCATCCAACCTTGCCCTGCTCTTCGTCCCCCTCCCAGGGCTGAGCACGCCCACCCCGGGAGGCTCTGGGGCCCCGAGGGGAGGCAGGAATGGGGCCAGAAAGAGGTTCTACTGACCCTCCCCCTTTGCCACCACTCACTGCGACCAGGCAGGTGTTCTGAGTCCACCCTGCCGGGTATGATAGCCACGCTGTGTTGTAATAGGGAAACTGAGGCTGAGAAGTTATGAGGCTTGCCCAAAAACCTGCTCATGGAAAGGCTGGGGCCCAGAGGGGTGAGCCGCGTGGGCAGCCTTGGGAGAAGACTTGAGAGAAGACAGCCAGCCAACCCGCCCTGGCCTCCTCTTCCCACTGACCTCTTGGCAAGCTGCCGCTCCTCACAACGTTGCTCTGTGGGGGAAAGGAAAGAATCGTGGACGAGAAACACATCCATTTTTAATAGTTTATTTATCCAACGGTTTCAACCCTGAAGTGAAGCCTGTTGCCGCGTTCCGAATTCCGGCTGGGGCCTGATTAGACCCTTGCTTTGCCGTGGGGCGGGCACTCGGAGCCAGCCCCGCGATCTTCCAGACATCAGAGGAAATGAGAGAGTATTGCTCAAATGAGGGAGATTGGAGCTTTATTAAGGAAACAAAAAATACCAGTAAGACCGACAAGGGGTGGCTGATGTCTTCTGGAGGCGCTGTTGTCGGCGCCCTGGCTCGCCCCTCTACCGCCTGCCTCGGAGGAGAGCGCAGGGGGACGAGGCTCTGCTCCAGGGGCTCCTCGCGTTGAGTTAATAGGGCGCCCTGCTCCCGGCGGCCGGCAGCCATGTGGCCCCCGCCCCCCGCGCCCCCCAGGTCGGCCTCAAGTTCTGGCCCTACGGCCCCGCAGCCCTGCAGGGGGGCCGCCCGTGGTTGCCCTGGAGAGGGGCGATCGTCGAACAATGGAGACGTGGCACTCCCAAGCTCCCGGAATCCACATCCTCCTCGACGCAGCAGTGTCGCAGTGTCGCACTGTGAGAAGCACCACAGCAGAGGCCCAGCTCTGACCCTGCGGGTGGCACGGGGCGGCCCTGCCCTCTGGCCGCCCCCGCAGCTCACCCCTCCTGACCGGAGGGTCCCGTGTGCCAGGACCTGGCATTTCTAGATCTTCTACAGTACTTGTTCTACTTTCTAGCACCTTACCCCTTCAGGATAAAAGAGGCCCAACCCAGCTAGAGGACAGGCTTTCTCCCCTCACCCTTGAGCTCCCGGTAACACCCTCTGAAGGCACATGGACCAAACCGCTCCCCAACCCCTGCTGCCCCCGCCTGCCATCCCGACCCACCTCCCACAGGCTCCACGCCCACCCTGCTGAGTGCTCCCGGTGGTGGAAGAGCTCCAGCCCACCTGACTGCATACTTGCTCTGCAGGGTCTCCCAGCTGCTGCTCTTTCATCTTCTCTAAGCATCAGAAACAAACCCTTCTCCCCCTTCCTGCCAGCCACGGGGCAGAGAGGATTGGACCAATGCAGAGGACGAGCTACCCACCTGGCCACTGGCTTTGCCACCCACCCCCACCCCGCAGCTGCCCTTCAAGGAAGCCCAAGCTTTCCTACAAGCTAATCTCTCAAGAATCTTACAGAGAGACCTTTGGAACCAGAGTGGGGAGGAGGGTGAAAGTCAAGGCAAGCGTGAATTCAGCACTGGCAGGTCTGGTGGCCTTCTCACGCCCCTGGAGGGGACTGGCCTGGGACAGGCTGACTGGGAACAGGTCCCCGCCCAGGATTTATCGCTCTGAGTCGGAGAAGGAGGAGGGCTTAGTCCATCTCCACACCAGCATATCTTCCCCAGCCACGCGGTGGGACTCTGTCTGGATCCGGGATTCACTGGATGCTAGGAATTCCACAGCCCGGTCCCAGACACGCTTCATGCGCCTCCTGCAATGAGAGGGACCAGGTTCAGCAGCAAGGCAGCAGCCCCCCGCCCCCCGCAAGCTCTGTCTGGTACTGCCCAGAGAATCAAGCTGGCCTGTGCACGCCCTGGGGACAAGACCCCAGGAGCCCACGCAGAATTTATCTGTGGGAGGAAACTGCGTCAAGTACTAGCAGAACTCCTGCAGAGAGAAATTTCTTGAGCCACAGAAAAAAATCATCCCTCAACCTTCTCTGCTCTAAAAGCGCTCAATTAAAGGGAGCGGAAGGGGACCAGAGGTGCCGGAGGACCCCCTGGTGTGTCTGAGTGGGACTGGGCTGTGCTGACCTTGGCCAGCTCTTGCCAGGACCTGTTACTGCAGCAGCCCCAGCCAGGTGGCCCCATCACCAGCACTGGCTGCATTCTAATGCCCCATGTGGGCCAATTAAAGAGTGGCCACTGGGCTGTGGAATCCAAACTTGACAGTGCTTTGGAGCATGGGAATGAGCTCAGCATCTGACGGGGGAGGCCAAGAAGCCGGAGCTGCTCCCTCTTCTGCTCTGCTGGGTCCCCGGGGCCTGGCATCCCCTTGGACCGCCCCTATAACCTCCTCCCCCTCTAGACTAGACAGGAAGATTCCAGGGCAGTCAGGTTGCTCTGACGTCCTCTCTTTGATGAGTTCCTGTCTTTTGGCAGTTCCGCAGCCTGCCTCCCCATGACCCCTCACATGGAGAGTGACTGTGGACATGGGCATGTGTGAGCAGGAAAGGCTCCACCAGGGCCCAGGACAACAAATGAGGTAGTTCCTGAGGTGGCCTCTGGGTCGGGAGTAAGAATGGGGGTGCTGGGGCTTTCTTCCTCGGAGTTCGGGTCCTGTCACGAGCGACCCCTCAGCCTGTTTGGCAGTCCCCACTTGCCTGGTGTCACCCAGCCCTCCCTCCCTGGCTGCCTATTAATAGGTGAATAAGCCAGCTGCTTTTAGCCCCCCTGCTTTCCTCACCAGCCAGGCTCTTCAGCCCTCCCTCAGTCTCACAGGCAGACCCTCATCTGCAAGGCAGACCTGAGGGGGCCCACGGCAGCGGATGTGTCCTCACAACTGGAGGGCTTGGCTGCACAGATGAGGGGTAGGAATCAAGAGGCTGAGAGCCAACAGTGTGAGTCTCCCGGGTTTCACTGCTAGGGCTCAGTCCCGAGACAAGCCGAGACGGCACTTTTGCACTTACATGTACATGTGTGGGTTGCACATAACCCGAGCTGGAGCAATAAGGGCTGCCCTGGGATGAGCTGTGAGGCCACCTCCGACACCCCCACTCCCCTTTTCCTGAGGCCTTGTCAATACCTAACAGCACAGTTTCTTTATGCATTTGTTACCTCTCTTCCTCCTGAGAAGCAACACTCCAGCACGGTGGGGTGGGGATTTGGGCTTCTTCCCCACACCCCAACATACCCCACCCCCATGACTCAGGAGTGTATGGCCCGTAGCAAGTGCTCACTAAACATCTGCTGAATAAAGGAGGGCTTCAAAGCAACCCTCTGCAAGGTGGTGGTATTGTCTCTGTGTCTGGGATGAGGAAACTGGCTCAAGGAGGCTGTTCCCCAAGGCCACATGAGACTCCTGGCCGGGCCAGGAATTTGGTGGGAGTCTGGATGCACCAAGTAGCCTCCCCCTGGGAGCAGGAAGGCCACACAGCTGCCTCATGCTGGGCAACAACAGCAAGCACAAGCCAAGGCCATGATCCCAGCTCTCCCTAAGCTTCCTGCCTGCACCTTCCCAAGGAGTAGGGAAAGTTCTTGAGCATCTTCACATTTAAAAGTGGCCTTAAATTCACATTTAAAAGCAGTTTTACTCTTCCACTTCCTCTTGGGTTGCACAGAAATGCCACCAGCGGTGGGCTTTGAGGAAATTCCTTAGCCTCCACGTGCCTCAGTTCCCTCATCTGTAAGATGGGATACTCGCTGTTCTCACCTCCCAGGGCCACAGTGAGGGTCAACCAAGTGGGACTGTGCTGGGGAAGGCCCAGAGCAGGACGGCTCACAGCAAGCACTTGGCAAATGTGAGTGCTTGTCACTCTCCGAGGGGATGGCATCCAGCCGGAGACCGCACCAAACTGCTGACAAGGGCCCCCGGTCTGAGCCCACGCCATGCCAGGGCCCTGCTGGCTGGGCCCTGGGCCCTCCTCCTACAAAGCTTCCCCACGTTTGGTTTTGTCAGGGGCCACCTAGCATCTGTAGCCCATGTGGAAGGCCCCCTGGAACCATGCGTGACAATGGCCTGCTACCCCTGCCCATGCAGCCGTGCACCTGACCACATCCATTGCCACGAAACCCCGTGTTCAACTACATGCATGCATGTGTAGGTGTGCCTGCGACTGTGGGAAGCAAACCATGATATTTTAGGGGAGTGTCATGGGTCATGGTTAAAAATGTCTGAAAGGCAATCTCATCCTTGCTAGTGACTGATTCAAGAACACAAGTAACCAGTTCTGGCCAGCGAGGCCTCAAGGAGTGTGTCACTGGCAGCTTCTGGGCATGTTTTCTCCTGCCCATGAGAGTGACCGGAGGCCCATCTCTCCCCAGTTGGCAGTGACAAGGCAGACGACGATCCAGCTGCCGCTGGCTACCACTTGTGTCTGTGAGGAACTCCAACCAGCCCACAACATCCCGGAGGCCAGGGCCACAAGCATCACAGAGAAATGGCACTAGAGTCTCGACTATTCTGTGCCCGGAGCCCAAGGGACTCTGGACTTCCACTAATAGAAACCCACCAGGTCCCTCCCAACTTGAGCCACTGGGGGGAAGGCACGAGCACCTGCCACCCACAGCTCTCCAGTTGGTATCGACGCTGACAGAGTGGGGTCATGCTTCCGTACTTCGGCTGTGCATTCTGCCAAAGATCCGAGCGCTGGGGCAGCGGCGGGAGGTGTGCCTGGCCCCCTCATCTGTGATCCTCAGGGATGACCCGCAGCCCCTTAACTGATGCTCTAGGCCCTCTCCTGTGGCACCAGGCTGGGTCAGCCCAGGACTCACCGGCTCTGTGGAGGGATCAGGGTGTCTCGCACATGCAGGATGCCCACGTATGGGTAGCGCTCCATGTCTTGCTCCCAGTCCACGTAGTGGTCCTGGACCACATCTGCAAGGTAGGACAGAGGACACCATATAGGGGAAGGACGTTCTGGCGGGTGCCAGTGGTCCTTTCCCCAGGGGCCACGCACCTATAATCTTCTTCACCATCTCATACATGGCTTGTTCCTCTTCTTCCAGCTTCCGCCACCGATATTTCAGGAGGATCAGGAGCCCCCACAAAAAGGCCAAACCTATGAGGGAACAAAGGCCCCGTTAATCCATCTCATCACTTGTGGCCATTCAGCTGCATGCTGGGTCTCAGTGCAGGCCAGTCGCTGTGCTGGAGGCTGTCAGTGAGCTGGGTTAGGTGTCCTGAGAACCTGCTATGTGTCAGGCCGGGGCTGGCATGCAGCTTACACAGGATGGGGAGATGGCGGAGGGGAGACAGGCTACAAAGTAATCATCTTCCTCTGCCGGCTGTCACCACGGAGGCATCCCCAGCTGTCCAGATTGAGGCTCCTCCCAACCCCATTCCGGGCTTTCATCTCCTCCCTTGTGAACCAGACCACGGGGTTTCATACATATACACACGCAGGGCCCTTTGTATTCCAAGATGCTGCTGCCGATAATGACGTCTCTGCCTGATGGCGTGGGTGAGGGAGCTGTGTGCACGCCCAGATGGCTGGTGATTTGTCTCTCTGTCACGTCTGCAGAGTTGGCAGTTTCTGTGACTCGGCCTTTCACCTTCCAAAACACCCTGAGGTCTCTGTTCAAAGGCAGCCCCCGATGCCAGGCCACAAGATGCTAAGCTCTGCTTTGCAGCTCAGCCCCCTGGGTCCTTCCTGCTTTCCTTGGGTACCCAGAGCTCCAAGGAGGTGTTTACATCGTTCAGGGAGTAAAATTAAGCCAAGCTCCTGCTGCACCTCCTCCTCCTCCGAGAGGCCTGTGCCCTGGAGCTCTGGGGGTGACGATGCTGGGCTCCAGCCAAGGCCCAGCTCCCCCCTCGGGGACAATGATAGTCTCTGACCCCGATCAAGGATATTTTCCAGTTACCCTCATGCTCCTGCCACCAATCTCTAAAGGTAAGATGACCCAGGGCAGAGGCTGACTTGTTCATCTCCTCTGTTTTATTAGACAGACCTCAGGTTCACCAGACAGAAATGAACTCTCTGGGCCTGGGTTTCTATAGCTCATCACTCATGCCTAGGAGTGTCACTGAGCTGGGCTCCTGGGAGATGCTGTGTGAGCAGTCCCTATGGCAAGGGCGGGGAGGGTCTGGTCACGGGGGGGAGGGGGGCGTGAGGGGAGAAGGGCAGCCAAGGACTTACACCAGAAGAAGATGAGCAGGTTGGTGATCGCGGTGAACAGGGCACGGCTCAGGCGGCAGCCCACACCCATGCGGGGGCGGGCGGATTCCAAGCAGACCACTTTGTCCACAGTTGTCACCAATTCCGATGGGTCTTCCCCTTTCAACCTGAAACAGGACACAGGGCTGCAAATGCATTCAGGAGCTCCCAGGAACCATAGGATCAGCCCCAATTTGAAGCAAGGGGAGATGAAAGGAGGGGCTTTGAGGCCTCTACTTGCTTATAAAATAGACTTGGTATCCTGGTCGCATACTTTCCAGAAATTTCCCACATTGGCTACTTAGAAAGAAGAAAGCTTTAAAGATGGCAGCAGGCTTGAACCCCTACTGCTAAAGTGACATCTCCCTCTGTCGAGTCTTCTGACAACTCCTCTCAGCGTGTGGAAGATTAAACTGTAAATTGGATTCCCACCTCCCAGCATATAGAAATGGAAATGTTTACTGAATCACTGGCTTTGCACTGCATAGCAAGAACTGAAAGAGTCTGGGGTGTGCTTTTCCTCATTGACGGTGACAAGGAGGCACATAAGCTGTTTAAGTATAAAGATTGGGGTGTCGTGAGGCTCGGGGAAGGATAACCACTGGGCTCTCTGAGGCCAGGCTCCCAGCCACAGCGCCTCCACTCTGGCCTCTGAGAGGTGTCAGGACACATGGGGATGCCCACGCCTGCACCTTCTTCTGGCTAGGTGACAGTCTCATGTATGGGAATGCCCAGTGTCCGAAGTGTTCTAATTTCTCGTGACTCGCTTTGAACACTGGTCATCTGAGCTGGGCTGGGCCACCCTCCGACTGCCTTCCCACAGTGTGAAAAGGCGAGTGCCATCATTCTTCTGTGCTAGCAGCTTTGGTGAGCACTGCTGAGGATAAAATCCATATTCTCTTCCGCCTATCCTAACACAACAGGAAAATCGCTCAGCCACTCAGGGAAGCTTTATTTTTTTAAGCCAACGCATTTTAATCATTTTAATCGCATTTTAATCGTGTCCTGCATCCAGTTATCAAGCTTTAGGCTGAACAGCCTGAGGGGCTTCTGGTGGAGGCACTGCTGATGGAATTAGTAGTCTGGGTGGATTAGAGACGGAGGGAACAAAACCCTAGAGTGTACTTGAGTATCAGGAGCTGTGGCCTGAACAGAGACCCTAACGAACCCTGGGAAATGGGAGGGAGTCCCAGCATGAAGAACCTTGGTGGTGGCAAGGGGTGTGGGTGTGGGTGGGGGGGCATACTGGTGTGCCCATCCCCCACAGGCTGAGCAGCCAGATGGGGCTTTTCATTTAAAATTTTTTTTTAATTTATTTATTTACGATAGGCACACAGTGAGAGAGAGAGAGAGAGGCAGAGACACAGGCAGAGGGAGAAGCAGGCTCCACTGGGAGCCCGACGTGGGATTCGATCCCGGGTCTCCAGGATCGCGCCCTGGGCCAAAGGCAGGCGCCAAACCGCTGCGCCACCCAGGGATCCCCAGATGGGGCTTTTCAGAAGGCTGAGAGGGCTCGCCATCCTGGCTAACAGTGCTCCCCGGGGGTAGAAATGAGGTCAAATGCCCAGTCAGAATAAAATCCAGTATGTCCTTTTTCAATTTCCGTCCTGAGTGAAACCGACAGAAACATTTCATAGGAATGAAGACCAGCACCAGACAAAAGGAAATACAGAATGACTTCTCTATGTGGGACCAGCGAGTTCAAAGGGCACAGAGTGAGTTACTTGAAACTCAAAGGCATAGGTGGAAAACTAGGCTAACCTGGATTTTGTGTCTTATCGTGAAGTGGCTCCTTCCGCTGCACCCCAACCACCTTTTCCTTCCGTTCCCTGGCTGTAGGCTTAGCCCACAAGGACTCGGCAGGGAGACCTGGCTCTACCTTCAGACACCTGTGAGCTGACCGTGGCCGCAGGTGCCTGTGGTAGTGCCACCACCCTGTGGTGCATTGCCCACACTCACCAGATGCCCACGTCCTTGTTACTGCTCAGTATCCAGGTCAGCGCAGCTTCAAACTTGGCAGGGGAGTTGCCGGTCACATTCTGTGGGAGGGGGTGGGAGATTAGTGCTGTGGTTGGGGGGACCAGCTAGAACATTGTTCTCCTGCTGGATTAGGGAAGATCTCTCCCGTGTCCTCCAGCGGGCCCCAGAGCCCCATTCCGCTAAATGCAAGACAAAGTGGCAGGTGGAAATGCGGGTTGATGAGAGCCAAGAAGGGGCTCTACTGGGAGGAGTCGAGGTGGGAGCACACAAGAAAGTGATGCAGGTCTGAGGTAGCCAAAAACAGAATTTTCTCAAGTACCAAAGCGTCAAGGGCTAGCAGCTCATCTTGGGGAAAATAAAAACACGTGTGGGGCTGGGGGCCCCAGGGGCCAGTCCCTGCCCCTCTCTGGGCCTCAGTCTCCTCATCTGGTAAATGAAAATAGGCTAGGGGACCCCTAGGTTTCTGCTGGCTCCAAGGTTCCAGAATTCTGTCAAACTGGGGCCAGGCCAACGGCCACACAGACCCCGAGCAATCTACACAGTGAACATAAAGGAGAGAATGGACAGGTGAAATGTAGGTCTGTAAAGCTGCTGGGAAGGGGAGAAAAGCAGGGGGTAAGTAATGGGGCTGCTTCAAGAAGAGGCAGCCTACAGTGGCCACACCAGCTGCTCAGGAGACCCCCGCCCACCTGTGGCAGGCAGGGCTCCGGCTCACAGCTCAGCTGGGACCAGTCACCTCTCCTGCTGCCTAAACTGAAAGTAGCCTAACACTCAACTAAGAGAAAGAAAGAAAGAAAAGAAAGAAAGAAAGGAAAGAAAGAAAGAAAGAAAGAAACAACAAAAAAGGGAAAACAAAAAAAAGCCAAAAAGCAAACAGAAAATGGAAAGAGAAAAAAAAAAAGGCAGGGTCTGAAAGATCAGAACAAAAGCACCAGGACTTCCTGGGAGTGGGTGAGCGCTGCAGCCTACTTACTGCTAGGTATTCCTCGGCTTCCACTACAGGAATGCATTTGCTTTTTAGCTTCTCTGGATTTCCACATTCAAAATTACCTAGGAGGAAAAAACACACATTCAAACAAAAAGAAGAGGTGGGGGAAAAAAATACTCTGAAATGGACTAAAAAAAAAAAATGCAGCAAGAATCAAGCCATCAGCTTTGATGGGGAGCATGTGGCCCCATGACTCTGGTGAGGCATCCTCAGTCTGCAGCAAGATCAAAAGCCACTTAGCCTGGATCGATTCCAGATCATTAAAACCTGACCTGCAAAGGAGTGCAGTGATTTGCATTAAATGACTAAAAAGCTACCCAATCCTAAGGTCTGTTCTCAATTGATCCCTAAAAAGATCAGACAGGTAGCTTTGGAAGGTACCAGAATGGCACTATAAATAAACACGACCTGGGAAAAAAAAGAAAGGCAGGGAGGCTGCAGGCACTGCAGGGATTCTGGCCATGACACAGGCAGGGGGCTAGGAACTCCAGGCCCACTGTTTTAAGGGGTTCTGGGGAGGGAGGGCCAAAATGCCCCACAGAGAAAGAGGGCATCCCTGTGCTGGGCAGTGGGGCCTCAGTGTGGTGCCCCAAGGGGCCACCCCCTTCTGATCAGGTCCCACCTGGGATGAAGCTGGGAGCGTCCCCTTAGGCCCACCCAGGGCCACCTCCTCTGAAAACTCCCCGGCCCATGGGGAAATCTTGTCGGACCAAATCACTCTGGACTTGGGGGCCTGCCACAGCCAGTGGATCTCAACAGCTCACTATGGTCCACCCACCATGTTCTGCTTCCTGTGGGTCACTAGATGCCTTGAGAGCAGGTACAGCACAGGCTGGGGGCATGTACAAGATCCTTTACCCACACAGAGCCTCACTGCTCTTAACCTGGCGCAGCCTGGGGTCTGGGGAGGGAGTGGCTGGGAATGAACTTTAAAAATCTTGAGACCGAACTAAAGTTTATCCCTCCTATGCCAAGTTGAGCTTGCCCTTATGGAACCCCTGAGATCAAGCTGGCTTTTCCCGACAGGCCCCAGAATGCCCTGCCCCGCTTAAGCTGGCCTGGACCACAGCCATGGTCTCCTGATTAGTTTCGTCCTCTCTCCTTTCTCATCCACGTTTGATCAACAAAAGTTTAAAAGGATTCTGCTTAAATCGCACTACTACACTCAAGCTGCCGTCACCCTTGCCTTCCTAGCTCCTGGCTCTCAACATATCACTCTGCTGCTCAAAAGCCTCCTTGGCATTCACCGCCTGCAGTGATCAAAGCCCTGGTGGCCTGACATCTATGGCCATCCATGGTGGGGCCCAACCAACCTTTCCAAACTCCATTCCTTCTGTTTCTCCTTCCCCTATGAAGCCAAGAGCTTCCATCCCTGACTCTGTCATTTCCTGCCTCTTGGCTCTACCCTGCCCCCTACATATACAGAATCAATCCTCCTTGGGCTTCAGGGTCTGGCACAGACACCACCTCCCCTGTGATACTTTCCTGACTGCTCCAGCTGAAAGGTAACATGCCTCCTGGAACTTCTGGCCTCTTGGTTCTCATCTAATCACACCTTATAACAGCCATTGGTCAGGGAGGTAGGTGGCCTGTCCCTTCTACTAGATCATAAGCACCCTGTGGGCTGCAAGGGAAGCACAATGCCCTGTCCATAGGTGACCTCCCAGGTGGGGTTGGGGTTGGGCAGAGTATGGCCCAGCAGAGCCCTCATTCCCCTGCAGTGAGACCCTCAGACTTGCCGTTGGCCAGGCTTGTCAGAGGACAGGAGGCCCTAGGCCCCCTGATGGCATAAGCCAGGACCACAAATGGAGGGCAGGATGGAGGAGAAATGTCTACCAGCATCTCTGGTTTAAGACAGAGCTTCCCTACTTTATACCCTAGGGCTTTTCAAAAATGCAGACTTTGATTCATAGGTTTGGGATGGGTCCTCAGATTCTGGATTTCCAATAGGTTCCGGGGTGATCCTAATGCTGCTTGTCCCTGGACCACAACTAAGTTACTAAGGTCTGGAATACTCTCTTAAAGGGCCAGAATTTGGGCAGCCCGGGTGGCTCGGCGGTTTAGCGCCTGCCTTCAGCCCAGGGTGTGATCCTGGAGACCTGGGATCGAGGCCCACATCGGGCTCCCTGCACGGAGCCTGCTTCTCACTCTGCCTTGTATCTCTGCCTCTCTCTCTCTCTCTCTCTCTGTGTGTGTGTGTGTGTGTGTGTCTCATAAATAAATAAATAAAATCTTGAAAAAAATAAAGGGCCAGAATTTATAGTCCAAGGACCCAGGCCATGCAGAAAGGCCCCTGGGGCCTGTGATGCTGTGAGCTCCCATGCCTACTGCTCCTCCTCCGAGCTCACAGATGCCTTCCTGACCGCCACTAGTCTCCTGCTAGTCAGGGGGGAGGTGGTGGCAAAGCTATGGCCCATAAGACCTGCCCCAAGGGCTGAGGGCCCAGTACAACAAGCCCATCCATCCTGGATTCCCTAGCAATGACTTTAGACAAGGGTTGGCCCCACAGGTAAGAGGCACCTCTTGAACATTCCATAAGACTGAATAGCTCTGTCTGGTTCTGGTGCACCAAGCTTGGGCCACAAGCTCAGGTCACACTATGCCCTAAGCAAGTGATTCTGAGAGGTATGGGGAGGTGATATATCTGGCCTCAAAGAATAATTTTCTAAATAAAATAGTAGGGAAGCCTTCTGGATGGATTACTTTTTAGAGGTACTTCATGGGGTACTGAAAATGTCCTCCTCTAGAGTAAAACAATTTTCATTTGTTAAAACAAAACAAAACAAAACAAAAAATGACCAAGGACCACTTGGCTAGAGAGGGAGACAGTTTCTGAGAGGTTAAGGGACTTATCCGAGGTCCTGCAGCTAGATGGGGAGATCAGGACCAGATGTGACACGGGGGCCCTGGCAAGCTGGGTGGACCTGAGTGTGACCAGCCCACCGGGCAGGCCCCTGCCACTTGCATAGGCCTCTCCTCCTGGCCTGGCCAACCATCTGGTACAGGAGGCTCTCCAGGTCAGAAGATCCAGACTCTGAGGAGACCTGGGGCCTGGCTCCTGCGAGTGCAAGATGAAAGCATCGAGTGGTGGGCATCCAGAGAAAACAGGCTTGTGCAGGGGCCAAGACCCCTGAGACCCTTAAAGGGCATATGAAAACCAACTGTAGGCTTAAGAAAGCTGTGTCTAAGTGGAGAATCGAGGCAAGACTTGGTTTCTGAGTGTGTCTTCTGGGAGATCACCAGCAAGCATCTCGGCCTCCTGCCAGCCAGCCCCAGCCAGGCTGATGAGGGGAAGAGCCCACAGCCCCCACGAGGAATCTCAGGCCCAGAGATATCCACTCACCGGCTTGGACGGCCAGGAAGTTGTAGAGTTCATGCAGCAGCTCCAGCAAGGCCGCCTTCTGCTTGGCCTGACAGAACTGGAAGGGCACAGGACAAGCAGTCAGCAAGCAGTGGTGGGGGCAGGGGGCTCCGTCCAGCTGGTTTTACCTCCTTGGCTGCACTGCCAAGTGCTAGGCAGCAAGGCACAACTCCTAACCCAAATTCTGTAAAGTGGTGGGCCCAGGGACGGGGTCGATAAATACCGGGTTAACTGAGCACCATGAAAACAGAGGCAGAACTAAAAGCAGACATAGTAACTAAGGAATTGCCATCCTGAAGGCTCCCAGCCTCTGTCCTGCAGTTCCCACGGGAATAAAGGCCATTAAGCAGGGCGGTGGACCAGAGGTGACTAGGCTGTGGGGAGATGCAGCAGCCCAGCTTCCCTGGTGGGCCAGGCAAATGCTACTACTGCAGCCTTGTCTTCCCTTGGGCCACTCCTGTCTGTTTTTGGAGAGTCAGGTGCCTACATTCTGCCTATCAATTGTCTGCCCGGTGGATTAGCTGCAGCAACTGCTTCATCTTAGACTGGATTCTAGACTAGAAGTGGGAAATTTCTAGAAATCTTAAAACTATAGAGGACAAAAGTCATCTGTATGAGAAAACAGGAACACGAATACACCTAGATCTCCTCCACTTATAACAGAATTGAAACCATTTTGCTAGACTTGCTAGATTTAGAATATTTAAAAGAAAAACTGCTCTTCCTTGAGAGTGAATGACGGGCTGTCATGAGTCTGCACTGAATCCTCACCACAATCCTTAACACACCCCAATTTCTCAGATGAGGAGTCCGAGGTTTAGAGTCCATAGCTAGGCCACCAAGATCCCACAGCTAACAAGTGCTGAAGATGATCAACTCCAAGCCTACCGCCCCCTTCAGACCTCCTCTGGGGTGTCACTGGGGTGTCCTGGGCTCCGGGCCTGGCTTGACAACTGTGGAAAGAACCACAGTCACTTTCCTTCTTGGGCTTGCTTGATGCCCTCATCTGCAACGTTGAGGGACTTGGTTTCTGAAAGTCTCAGAGGCCAAGATATGTTCCCTTGTGTTGCCTAAAGACCCAAAAGCCTTTCCAAGTACAAAATGGGGTTACCAAGATTTACACACATGACTGTTAACGTTCAGAAACAACGCACCAATCTGTAAGCAGAATCAGATACCCAAACTACCTTTTAAAGATGAATGTGATGGAAAATGTTGGTAATAAGAAATATAACTGAATATACATGGAGATCCCAATTCTATAAACATACATACACAAACAAATGAGAAGGGAAGGAAATGCCCCCAAATGTCACCAAAATTATTTCTTGGTGGCAGAATCATGACTCATTTTGGCACATTTTTTTTTTTTACACTAAACATCTATTACTGTCACAACCAGGAAAAAAAGAGAAGTGGTCACAATTAACTCCATTTCAAACTCACCGACGTTTAGGCAAAGCGGGGCTGATCCCACCTAAAGGGAACAGAAGGACGGAAGGCACTAGACCACAAGACGGCCTGAGACAGCACACCCACTCCCAGCCTATCCACGTGTTTTCAGCAGCACAAAGGCACAGAGAAAAATGCTAAGTGTCATAGTTGGCTGAGAAGGGAAAGAACACATATCTCTCAAACTCCAATGCCCATCTGGATTCTGGGGGAGCCTGAGCCACACAAAGAATAAGACTTCTCAGCAAGAGCCTCACCAAAGCCAAGAAGCATCTCCCAAACTGCCTATTCCTGTGTCCACCCTTCATGACGGCCAAGAACACCCCATGAGATCTCAGCTCAGTGGGGCCTGTGATGAGGCCCAGACTCTGCCTTTTGATGCTCTGATGTTACGAGTACCCACGCTGCTCACCGAGCACATCTTTAGCAAGATCCCTGGATGGGCCCGTTGGGGCTCACTCAGCTGGGGAGATGAACCAAGAGATAGAAACCAGAGAAACCAGGAAAACAAACAAACAAACAAACAAACAAAAAAAAACAGAGAAATCTTACAGAAAAGTTCCTTGCTTTCGGGTTCAAAATTCTAGTTTTCCCTCTGGCCACTACCTATTTTTCTGGGCCACTTCCTGTAATCATCAACTGTGGTTTCTATGACGGAAGGCACTTTCAACTTAATATGAATCTGTTTTCACAAAACAACTGAGAGGCAAAGATACTTGGTGGATGAATGCAATAAGTGAATGTAATAAAACAACCCCAAAGATGACATAGCGGAAGCCAGAGAAGAAATAAAGGCTATTATCTACACCAGGCCACCCCTTCTGTTAACATGGGTAAGAGAGTGAACTCTTGACTGTGTGCACTTTCCTAGGCCCCGGGGCTGCCAGACGTGGAGACTGAGGCCTTGGGAGAGGCCTGGCATTGCACACTTAATAATTAGACTACTAAGTCATGCCCTCTAGCAGGAAAAGGCTCCTCCTGGTAGGATTTATGACCTGAAAATTTATTGCCTCCTATCTTCCCCAGACTATCACCTGTGCCAGCATCCCAGCTCCTAGCTAATGCCGCGTGCCTGACTCATAAATGGATGGGGCTGCTCGCCTTCCTCAAATATTATTTGTAGGGAACATTAAAGCCTCATAAAACAAATCTATAGGCAAGAGGCCTAATTCCACTTCAGATATATTTAAAACAACCCCACCCGCTCCCTGATGTTTCAAATCCGAACAACATTGTCAGCCACAGAACCGGAGCAGAGGGAACGTGTACCTGAGAACTCGGCCTCCAGAAGCTTAAAAACTGCCAGCCCTTCCTCTGGAAGCCAGGGAGCTTGAGAGGTCCTTTAGCCCAACCTACTGCATCCGCCTAGATTGACTTAGGCAGATCAAAGTCCCCGGTGCTGTGAGTGATGGAAGAGCTACCATAACAAGCCAGGGTTGGATCTTGGGAGTTCTATTCTTTCTATTTCAAGTACTCTGTTGCCTGCCACAATTGAGTCTGACACAAACATCACAGAACACGATGTGATTCTGGTACATTACAGGAAGCACTCCTGAAAATGATCCTATTATGATCCTTTTCTGGGGAAGTTTACCTCCTGATGGAGGCTAACATCCTTGGGAGGAATAACAAAAGCTAGAGAAACTCAGACTCACCTTATCTGTTTTGCTGTCACAGTCCACTGGCAATAATTTCACTGAGACCAAGAAAAGAAACACAGAGGAAATTAAAAGTGTGGGTTCAGGAAAAGATTACAAAAGAGAACCATTCCCAAAATTCAGGGGAAGTAAAACATTCCCATAAGGGTGGGGACCAGAAAGATGTCCTCTAAATATGGCACTTGTAAAATGTAGATAGTAAGATGTAAGGGTTTCCCAAGCCCGGATGAGGAATCAGGACTAGGACCACTGGTCCAAGTCCTAGCTGGAAATGATTAGCCATGGGCTCTTGGGCAACTCAACCACTCTGAACCTCCATCTCCTCATTTGTAGAATGGGAGCTTCAATAAAGCTTCCGCTGCTTAACTCAAGGAGTAAACCTCAAACAAGTCAATACACATGATTGTTTTGTAAACTGCCAAGTGATATGTTGAGTAGGGATTAGTACCACCATGGGAGGGGAGCTCCAGCTAAATCCCAAGATATACCCAAGAGCTGTTGTCTTAAAGTATCTCAGCAGGGACTATGAAAAGCGTACTGCTTGACTGCTGTGGTATCATCTAGTCCCACGACCCTCCCAGGTCTGCTTAATTTCTTTAGCAAGTGGATAGACTGCTCTCATAGCCAAGAAGTTATTTGGGTGTGTGAGTCTGGGATCCCCATGCCCACAGACTTATTCATATACCCAAACACCCATCTGCTGCAACAGCTAAGGTACAATTTAGCCTCTCCCTGCATTTTGGCTGTTCCTGCTAGGCATGGAAAGAAAGATGTGGCCTTGGCTTGGGAGGCTGGGAACAGTATTCATCACAATGCTTTGCAAAGAATATCAAAAGCTGGTGAGCTCACTTTATACTTTAGATTCATACACTTTACCCTTTACATTTATAAAGAAATGGTTTTCATGTTGAGACTAAAGCCCAGTTACCCAAGAAGCAGATTCCCGTTTTAAGAAACATACCAATCCTCAACTAGTCAGGATACCTACTGTATCCTGCAGACCTCTTATTGGCATGTCCAATCACTAACTAAAATGTGGACAGAAGCATGGCCAGGAATGTCCTTGACTCACAGAACTCTCTTAATGCAAGCAAGGATAAACACCTCCATGTCTATCAGTTTAAGCGCTTTTGGAGATGCAAAGCTGGGAACCCAACCAGATCCCATCTGTGGGCAGTCAAACCTGGGGTGTCTTCAAATGGGCACTAATGTGTGAATGAGCCAGAGATCCAAGTTAAGAAAGAACCAAAAAGGAATGGGGGTGGACCTGCCTGTTGGAGAGGGGTGTGGTTTTCTCTGGAGAGGGAAAACCAGAGGTTGGGGTGGAAATGACTAGGAACGAAGACTGCTTCCAGCACGTGGTTGAAAGGGAGACTGGTAGGGAGGGCTAGGGCAGAAACGGAGAACAGGAACAGGAGAGAGTGAGGACAGAGATGGCTGCAGAACTCCAGGCCTCTTCTCCCGCGGCGGCAGGGAGGAGAGGCAAGGTCTGGAGGGGAGAAGACAGCCAGAAGCAGCCGGCAAGGCCCGGGCCGGGGCAGCCTGGCGCCGAGAGCAACCGGAGAGCAACCGGCGGCCGTCGGGGGGGGGGGGGGGGGGCACTCGCGCGCCCGGGGCCCTCCCCTGCGCCGGCCCGGGACGTACTGTTGTCCTCCGCCTCCTGCGGCGCCGAGGGCTTGCCCATCTTCACCCAGAGGATGCCCAGGAAGACGAGCAGCAGCCCCAGGCTGGCCCAGAACAGGAGCCGGGACAGGCAGCGCTCCAGCCGCCGCCCCGCCTCGGGCCGGGCCCGCGCCGCACCCGCAGGGCCAGTTCGCGTGGCCCGCAGGCCCGGGCGCGGGTCGGCGCCGAGGAGGGCGGAGGGCGGCCGGGCCGGGGCCGGGGCCGGGGCCGGGGCCGGGGCCGGGGCCGGGGTCGCGGCCCACCAGCGACGGCCTCCGTGGCCCGGCGCGGCCCTGTCGAGCGGCCGGGCGTCCTCGTCCTCCTCGGAGCTGCCCCGGGCCGAGGCGCGGCGCCGGAGCGGCGCGGGGCGGGCGGGGTAGGCGAGGCCGCGGCTCCCGGCCCAGGACGCCGCGGAGGCCCCGCCGTCGCCGTAGGCCCCGGAGGTCGCGTAGGCCGAGCCCGAGGCCGGCGGGGAGAGCCAGGGCTCCGCTCGCAGGGAGGCCGCGGCGGGCCGGGCTCGCAGCGGCGCCTCCTCGCGCAGCCGGGCCTCCCCGCGCAGCCGCTCCTCGCCCCGCAGCCGGGCCTCCTCCCGCAGCCGCTCCTCGCCGCGCAGCCGGGCCTCGCCCCGCAGGCGGCGCAGCTTGTTGCGGTACACGTCCCGGGTGGTGTCGGTGATGGGTCCTGGCTGGAAGCCCAGGGCCTGTAGCTCCCGCCGCAGCTCCAGGTCCGACAGGCCGGCCATGGCCAGGACGCCGCCCCCCGCCCGCCCCCGGCGCGCACCGCACCCGGAACTGCTCCCGCCGGCGGCCGCGGCGGAGCGGGCGGGGCCCCGCGCCATGACGGGAAGGTCTGCCCGCGCCCTCCCGGCTGGCGGCCATGTTGAGGAGGTCAGGCTCGGCCCTTGATGCCGCCATGTTGGGGAGGTCCGAGAATTTAAGAAATGTTTTTCTTTCCTTCCCCTCCTTGCTCAGTCCTTGTCTGTAAGACCGATCGGTGTTTCTTTACGAATACTCCTCCCCATGCGCGGTCCCGGGCACGCGGTAGACACCTAGTAAAGTGTTGATCTAGTGGATAAATTGCCTGGTGGTGAAGGACGAGCCCCTGCGGACCCTTTGCATCCTCCTGTGCTTGGGGAGGGCTGTGGGTCATGGACTAGGCCCGGCCCTGGACCCCAGGTGGAGGGCGGCGGGCGGCGGGCCTGTGTCCAGGCGCTCAGCGCAGCTCCGCGACGTGGGCCCGGCCCCAGGCACCTGCCCCAGAGCCAATGCCCTGGGCTTGAGTGGGCGGCACCCGCTTTGGGAGGAGGCCCTGTGGTGGGGTCTTCCCAGAGGTGGGTGGTGGGTGCCCGAGCTCCCGAGACAGTCGGCTGTCACTTGCGGATTTAGGTGGGGCCTCTCAAACGCCCGGGGCGCCACTGGTAGATGTGTGATCGCATCCAGTGAACATTTCTGGCCTCCTGGCCAGTAAAGTCGGTGACGAGAATTAGAACGGGGCTTCGACGCGGCCTGGTAGTGCTCCCACGTATGCCCTCCCGCGTGGGCAGTGCAGGGACGGCACCTGACTGCAGGGCGGCTCTTAGCGGCGAGGCCCTGAGGGAAGCCTGGGGGGCGAGGCACGTGCGAGCAGAGCTGTGGCTCAGTGTCCTTCCACCTCCCTCCCCTGTTTGTAGGCCTTCCACGGCCTTCTTCATCCGCCCCGCCCCCCCCGCCCCATCCCAAACGTTTATGGCCACCCTTGGCGTCTTGGGTTCCGGTCCACTGCGACTCCTCTAATTCGGTTCTCCCCTTGCCTGCCCATCGCCCACCCCCCACCCTGCTTTCCCCTCTTCCTTCCCTGGGTCATGGGCAAGGCCCCTCTGCGGGTGGTTTGCATCCCTGCCACTTGCCCTACCACCACAGGGTATTCCTACACTGGCCACGGTTGCTGGAAAAATTATAGCCTCTGCTCGGTCAGGCTTCCATTGTTAGCCTCCTCGTATCCCCCGACGTAGCTGTTCCCATGTGGTGCAATTTTTCTCACCAAGTGTTTTCCTCTTCTCTGCCTGTGTTTGCACGGAATGCCATGAATTTGATATAGTGATTGCCTAACACATATACCACATAATAGTATTTTATTTCTTTCTGAAGCACTGTTTGCATGACAAATGAGTTGGTAACATTTGTGCAACTCCTTGCAGCTGTGCAGTTCAATATATAAGGAATGAGCCTTTCAGCATCAATACCGGCCCTGTGTATTCTAAGAGGGTTTGAATCTGACGCTTCAACAAAGTGAACGTTCTGACATTTCGCAGAGTTACGGTCTGTTTCATCACAATGGATCCCAGGATGATTTAAAAATATGTACTGAACTGGAGCCGCCCCCTGCAGTGGTCCCCAGTGTGGGCTTTGTCAGCCTGCCTTGTGTTTGGGGACGCTGCTGCTGCTACACATACCTAGGGCCAAATGACCCCCACCCGTCCAACCTGCTGTCTTCCCTCCAGCCCGGAACCCATCATGTTGGCAGCCGTGGCTTTCTGCCCCCAGGTGGTCTACCCTCTGCCTCCATGGGACTCCTACCAGATGCTCAATTTGTCTCTCTGGCTCCAAGGAGCCTTTGGGGTAGTGCCGCCACGGTAGCCCGCGTCCCTGCCACGCCCACCCCCAGGCAGAAGCCTCACCATCTGATTGAGAAAAGTCAATCAGAAAACCCCTCACAAGTCAGTCGTCCTTCTCAAGTCTGGGGCATCTCTGTTTTCCTCCTGAGCATCCTGTCCCAGTCTTGTTCCTCTGTGGATTGACAGTCCCTCTGAGGCCCGCCATCAACATTCTGTGCCAAGACTACTTTACCTGCTTGTTGCTGCTCATGCTCCCCCTGCATGACCACCACATGCTTTCTTCACTGACCCTCATGTTTTCCAGGCCCCGGCTGAGCCGTGGTGCTTCTTTGGTACCCCTGCGTCGTTTTGGGAGCTGCCCAGGAGGCTCTTCCTGGCACGTGCCTTTGCCTTCTGTGTTGAGTATGGGAACGCATATTTTAAAGAAAAAGGCACCATTGCAAAGTCAGTGGCTGCCCTGCAGGCCCCCCTCTCTCCTCACTTTCTTGCAGGTTTTTTAAAGGTGAGCAGCCGGGCTGTGGGCAGTCTTCCTGATTTATTAAAGGCGGAAGTGGAAAAACAAGCTGCAATGTCCAAATATACTTAGTAACCACATCCACGCATTTAGCAGAAGAGAGGGGCCTCCAGGAGGAGGAGGCTCTGGATTCCCAGAGGGCTGCCACGCTGCCTGCCGTCCTGCTGACCTCCCTCTGTCTCAGCAGAGCCTTATAATAACAACAGCCATAAATCTTTTAGTGGGTTCCATTCTCCTTCTTCTCCTGCAAAAAGCCCTGCACACATTTATCAGGTCCTTAAAGATGCAGGGGGACCATGGACTCCTCCTCGATCTACCCTCTCACCAGCCTCAAGCATCCCTCTGGGCTTCCTTGGAACCATATCGTGAGTGGTGTCATGCTGTGCAGTGGTGGGGGCACTGGGAGAGTGTGGTTGAAAAGTAGGGGACAAAGCAGGTGCCATCTAGGCTCAGGTTTTGACTGGGAATGTTCCCAGCACTGCCCAACTTCTGGCTGCCCCATCTCAGTGCTCTGGTGAAGAGGAGAGCCACCTTTCATCTCTCCAGGTAGACGAAGGGGCAAATAGAGTCACAGAGAAATGTGAGAACAGGTATAATGGGCAGTTATGTTGGCTGCTTTTCATAATCGGCTGAAAATATAACAAAACTCTCATTCTTTTGGCCACACTTTGATATCTGTGGGTAAGAGTTCTTTCAGAAGCCTAGAATACATTCCCTGATGTCAATAACGAATTGTGTATGAAGAAAAATGTAATGCTTTCAGAACATTTTCTTTTGGGCTTTGTCCATGATTAGATTATACTAAATTACAGAGTACAGATATCAGGCAATTACTCTTTGCTTTTAACTATTCAATTTCATGGCAAATCCTCATAGCTTGGTAATTATAAAATCATACCGATGCAGTTACTGAGAAAATACCTCATCATCTTCATCTTGTGAAGCTGGGTTCAGGTTGCCCTCTGATTACCCATAGTCCTGTTAAGTGTAAAGTACATCCCAGATGAAGAGGGGCTAATCTGTAGCTCTCTGTAATGGCCCAGTTTTCTGGAGAGATTCTTGCAGATTTTGCTGGATGGACCTCAGTAAGATGTGAGGAAGGTGGGTGTCTTCACCTGACTGGTTCCTCTGGGCACTTGCCCCCTCTCCCCTCCTGGCTGGGTCCTGGTCCTGGCCTTGGATAGCTTTAGCCAAGAGTGGATCTCTCTTTACTTCTTTTTTTTTTTTTTTGAAAATATGGTCATTTTGGTCTTGGCTCAGCTCACAGTATCCTCCCAGCCTCCCCCAGTTTTAATTTCTTCCAGGGCTGTGCCCGTCCTGTAAGCCATCGAGTCTGCTGTCCTGGAAACTGGAGGAACTCGTCAGAGAAAAAGAATTATTTGAGCCGATTGTGAGAAATTGAACAACGGCAGGAGGAGGAAAGGTAGAGAAGAAAGGAGCCGACACATCTAACCGGGCAGCTGGGGCACTGTGCATACAGATGCAGGTGGCAGCTGGGTCCCTGTTGCAGCTCATTACTGAGCAGCACATCAGAGGCCACTGGGTGAGGGTCACGGACAACCCGGCTGCAAGCACTGAGCTTTGAACAGGGCTGTTCTGCAGGATGAACAGCACCCTCCTGCCACCTAGGTACTGTGGCTGCGGAACCAATTCCCATTTTCAGAAATGCAGACTGCCTGGGGTACAACCACCTAGGGGCCTCATTTCCTCCTTGGCACCTATTTCAATGCTGCTATCCAACCCCAGGATCTTAAGGAAAACCTCCCGGGGGGGGGGGTGAGGGGTATGGGGGGCGGGAATCCGAGCAAGCGGAGAGGCAGGGGTGGAGGGAGAGAGGAGCACCCCTCCTCTGGTGGTGGGGGAAGGTAGTCTCCGTGTAGGGACAGACCCCAGCAGAGTGAGGTAAAGACACAAAAGCTGTGTTTTCCACCTAGACAGAGACCGGGAGCATTTTGTTGACCTGCGTTTTGGAGTGGGTTCCAGATAATGGTGTGAATAGCATGCATGGTGGAACTCTGAAGGGCAAGGAGTCCTGGATCAGTTCTTCCCAACCATGTACTTTGTAGATTCTCCTTCATTTCTTCCTCCTTGCTCCTCCCCTGCCCTGTGCAGCCCTCTCTCCGCTTATTACAGGGTGCCTTGGCAGCATTTCCCAGCAACCTGCCCCTGCCCTTGAGCTGATCAGTACGTACACAGGAAATCCTGTGACTGTGCAGCATGAGGGGTCTGGGTCCCATGTAAGGTTTGGGTGTCCCTCAGGAGCATTCAGAGCACCCCAAAGGAGCATCCTTTCTAAGGGTCAGAGTTATCTTGTCCTGATAACTATGATCTGTGGCTAAGCTCTCAAAATGGCTGGGGTGGGTGGAAATGTGAAAGGGGCAGCATGTCTAGTTGCTGGTAACCTATGGATAGAGGGAGCTGTGGTTCCTCTAAGGCCCCAGTTTATAAATAAATGAACATTCATTAATGTAAAATTAAATTAGAATGAAATTTCTCATCCAGTTTTGTTTAGAAGGCAGAAATAAGTGGGTTGGCTGTGGAATTTTGCTGCGGATGCTGGAGCGTCTAGTCACAAGATGATGATAATACTGATAGTGATTTGCTGGTGCCTGTCCCCCCCCGCCCCCATCTCAGGGCACGCATTACCACCTTGCTTTTGCAAAGGCTCATTGAGGTTAAAGGGCTAGATGGAAGTTACTTGGCAAGGGGTTGAGTGCAGAAGACTGACAAGGTCTAGCCCATTAGACCTCGAGCTTGCCAATAAACAGAAAGTAGACCAAGATTCAGGAGACCTGGATTCCAGTCCTTGCTCTGCCACTGACTGGTGTGGGGGCAGAAAATGCTATCTTTCCTCATTGGCACGAATCTTCCAGTTCTGTGGGTCTGACTTAATATTTGAACATAGAATTGATCGAAGGCAGATGTTTTGCCACTGTATGTACCACCATTTATGGCCAACTCCCTCTGAGCTTTATTCTCCCCCCCCCCTTTATGGAGTGACTTAAAGCTGACCTTTAAAAATTAAAATATTAAATAAAAAGAGTCATTTCTGTATATTTCCTGCTTTATTTGCTGGAGGGGGGCTTGCTTGGGAGAGAGTATTTTCCTTCAGAGCCTGGCTGTCGGGCATGCAGATTTTGGGGCCTGCCTCGGGTGGGAAGCGGGCTCCTGGTGTCATCCACCTTTTCTGCCGCCGCCACCTGAGGAGCAGGTTGTCACTTGTCTGCTGGGGAAAAGGAGAGGAGGTTTGCAGCTCAGTGACAGCAGTTCCACTTATGAAACTGACTTCTAAACCTGCCTGCTGACCAAAGGGAGAAGGGGCTCGAGGTGGGAGGGGTGGGGGGAGTGGGGGGATTGGTCAGGCATCTGGAAGCTCTGCAGCTAGGTTTCTCTGTAGCCTGGGGCAAGTCATTTAACCTCGTTCTTCCACCTTGAACACTTTCTCCCCGCCTCTCTCCTCCCCTCCTGGAGAGAGAGTTTCCTGGAGACTAGGAGAAGTAATCAGTGGCTGTTTGTGAGACAAGTCCTAGCTTGACCCAAGTTACTTGGGCCGACCTTGAACTGGGCGAGGGCCAAGTGGAGCTCAGGACTTGCATCTGTAAAACAGATCAAGAAAATGCAGACCTTTGTGGTTGGCCAGTTCCAGAGCTTCCTTTAGAGGAACAGCCCAGCCTTGGTAGTGTTTTGGGAAGGAGCGAACATTTCTGGAGCAGAGGGAGGGTTGGGTGTGTTGTGGTCTGCTCCGCCAGAGGGCATTTGGGAAAGGGGGCTGAGCCTTCAGGGCAGGACCTTGAAATGCCCCTGGCTGGGGAATTGCTCAATGATTAGGCTCTTCTCAGAGACGGGTGCCCTTTCCCCAGAAGACAGCTTCATATTCTCAAGTGCAAGGCACAAAAGCAAATCGTCATCTGCACACCGTGCTCAGGTGCGCTCCCAGAATATTGACACAGGATGGCTGAGGCCAGGTCCCAGGTGCAGGGCCCTGCCTTCCCGTACCGTTCTGGGGGGTCAGCAGCACCTCACTCAGCAGCTCTTCCAGGGCGGCCCAGTACTTTTCCAGCTGCCTGGAGTTCATCTTCATTCCAATTTCCACAGGAGCAGTCAACTGTGAAATAAGGTAGAGTTAACAAGGAGGAAGAGATGCGGAGAGCGCCATTAACCCCTGGGTGCCTTACAGGTGGCGGGAGGGACTGCTCAGCAGTGGCCCCGCTGTTCCTGATCCTCCTTGGACTTCCAGGCCAGCCAGGGAATTGTGGCACCTCCTCCCCTGCACTCGAGGTCGGGGGCTGGATCCTGGAAGTCGCACAAGACTTGGCCGGGAGGAGGAGCCACAAACTTCCCTACTGGGGAAGCTGGGATGGAGGGGAGCAGTGGGCAGGAAATGCCTTGGCTTTTCAGTTGGGAGGAAACTCTCCCTCCCACTCCTCCTGAATAATGAGGGCCAACGCCTGGAGCCTTAGAGCTGGGAGTCTTTCCGGAAGTTTTATGTATAAGAAGCCTCTTAGTAACCCTATGAGGTAGGGACCATTAGGGTCTCCGTTTCGCAGATGAGGAAGCTGAGGAAAAAGAGGTAGAGTAACTTGCTCAAAGCCACACGGGTGCTAAGTGGCAGAGGGAAAAGGTGTCATTCCCAGGGGGCCTGATTCTAGCCAGCAGGCGAGACTTTCTCTAGCCCTATGGGGACACAATAGAGACCCCAGAGGAGCCTCAGGAGAGGCTCCCCACCAAGAGAGGTGGGTGTGGCCCATCCGGGGGAAGGGGGTGTGTGCTGACCAATCTTGCCATCACCCCAGAGCTTCCTGGCTCAGCGATCTTGGTTCCCACGCCAGCTGGCAGATGGGCAGAAGACCGGAGACTCCCTGCCTGTCTGGAGAGCTGTACGCAGGATTTCCCAGGGGCTCCCTGGCGGTGGAAAACAGGCTGGGGCCTCGCGCAGGGCCACACGGAAGGAAGGTCACTGTGGGTCCGGCTCCAGCCCGACCCACGCCATCCCCTTGCCGTGCTACGCTTTTCTCTCCGACATCAGCGTCCTTAAAGTCAGGAGGCTGGACAGAATGATCCAGAAAGGACCTCCTGACCCATGTGTCCTGGTCTAGGCAGCTGGGAACAGCCTCCCCAAGATGTCCCACAGGATGTAACTTGTGCCTTACACTGCCCAGGGTGCCGGTATTGGGCAGCTCCGAGTGAGCTCCCCTTTGCCACCTGAACCAGTCACTCCCAGTTCCTCCTGAGAGCCCAAGGAGCATGTGGGAGAGGAAGGCACACTGCCCTAACCCCGTCACCTGGTGTGGTGACAGCCCTGAGGTCCCTCTCTGGGCTGTGATTGGCCTCCCTCTTTGTGGTCACAGGCTGTGACAACCTGCCAGGGTGGAAGGATCCCTGGCCGGTGGCTGGCAGGAGGCGGAAGACCTGGAATGCAGCTCAGTTTCACCCTGACTACTGTGTGACCTTGGCAAGGCCCTCACTCACTCTACTTATCAGTCTCCCCACCTCCCAGGCCCCTGGGAGTGTCCCCCACTCAGGTCCAGCAGCGCCTTCCTTCTCCATCCACACTCACCCCTTCTAGGATCTCACCCAGTCCTGGCTTGAAATTCCAGCAAATTGCTGATGCCTCCCACATGGATGTGTCCAGCCCTAAGCTCTCCTATATCCACCTGCCTGTCCCATGCCTCCACCTGGAGGCATCTTACAGTTCATAGATCCTGTCCCACTCGACCTTCCTCCCGCCCTCCTGTGGCCAATCGTAGGGTTAACCGTCTCCATGAGTGGCAAATCCATCCTTCTAGGTCTTCTGGCCCAGAACCTTGAAGTCCATGTTTCTTTTCTTTTTCTTTATAGCCTAAATTCATAGCAAACCCTGAGGCCCTCTAACTCTAAAATATTTCCGGAACCTGACCACTCTGCTCTGCCTCCACCATGACCAACCTGGGCTGTTGGATGCTGCAGCAGCTCCCCCTAATCCTGCCTTTGCCCCTTCAGGCTGTTCTCAACACAGAAGCTAGCGAGACCTTTTTTTTCTCTGTAAAGTAGGCTCCATGACCAGCATGGAGCTCAATGTGGGGCTTGAACTCACTACCCTGAGATCAAGACCTGAGCTGAGATCAAGAGTCAGATGCTTAACCGACTGAGCCACCCAGATCAGATGCCCCTGGGGAAACTCTTTTAAAATATAAATCTGATCATGTCCCTTCTCTGCTCCAAAGCCCGCAATGGCTCCCACGTCAGCAGAATGAACGCAAAGTCCAAACAATAGCCTACAGAGTCCACTGTCTGGTCTCTCCTCCCACTTTCTCTGACTCCCTCTGCTCCAGCCACTCCAACCTCCTCACTGTTCCTTCCTCACTGTTCCTGGGATGCACCAGGTCTACCCCTGCCTCAGGGCCTTTGCCCTGTTCCTGCTGCCTGGAATGCTCTTCCCCCAGACATTTTTATGGTTCAGTGCCTCACTGTCTCCAAGCCTCTGTGCTAATGCCATGCACTCATGAAGCCTGCTCTGACCACCCTATTTAAATCACAACTCATCCATCTCCATTCTCTGCTTTACTCTCTTCCATGGCACTACTGGCCACACCGTGAAGGTTGCTTATTTATCCTGTGTGTAGTCTGTTGCCGGTCCTTCTGGTATCTCATTTCCAGTGCCCCACTCGAGTGTGAGCTCCACGAGCTTGGAGGATTTACCTGTTTTGTTCACCACTTTATTCCCAGGGCCCAGAACCATGCTTTGCACTTAGAGTTTGGGAACTATTTGTCGCCTGCGTGAGTTTGTGAAATTAAAGAGCTGCCCTGGACAAACTCAAGCCTCACTCTGACCGCTGCAATCTGTGCTATCCGCACTCAGCACTGACCCGGGGGCTGGGGGCTGACCCTGTAGTTGTCTCCTAGGTTCCTTGCTAGGGGGAGGAACTGGCACCCTCGTCATCTGTCCCCTGAGGACGACAGCTGCCTCCTGACTGGTCTCCTGCCTCCACTTGTGCTGTCCCGGATCTTTCAAAGTCAGATCAGGTGACTTCCCTGCTTTGAACCCCAGGTGACCTTCCAGACATCTAGCCTGGACACCAGGCCCTGCCAACTTCTTGTTCTCTCCCGGTGCACCCTTGCCTCGAGGACCTTGCACCTTCAGTGTGCTTCCTGAGCAGGGCCTTTGCACTCACCTTTCCTTCCTTCTGGAATGTTCTTGCTCTAGCTCTTTAGCTCTTTGTATGAGAGGCTCCTTCTCATCATTCTGGTTTCAAATCAAATAAGTGTCACCTCTTCTGAGAGGCCTTCCCTAACCCCTCCCCCAGCCAAAGGAATGGCCCCGAGCCCCACCCCATCATGCTCTATCCTACCTCCTTATGCGGTGCCTGAAATGGTTCCTTGTCTCATTGTTGGTGTCTGTCTCCCTTTCTTCTAGGATGGAGCTTGTTGCCAGAATGTCTAGTTCGCTGCTGTATCCTAGCATAATCTGTGGCTGGCCGGGGGAACCATTCCCCAGCGAGGTTTCTCTGCATCGTCCCCCTGCCTGCTCACCTTGATAACTTGGTTTTCTTCTTCCTCTGTGGGCTCCACAGGGTCCAGAGGCCCCACTTCCTCAGACTTCTTCTGTAAAATCAAGGACTTCTTTTGCCCTTTGTTGCGCTCCTTTTCCTAAGGGCAGAACACAAAGTCGCACAAAACCAAGGTCTCTCCACTGCCTGTCTGTGCCCAGGGTGCCAAGCAGCCTGGCTTCCCACAGGCCTAAAGAATCCCTCCTCCCCAGGTGCCTCTACACAAGGGGCCCCCCAAGTCCAAAGGCTCACAGAACCATCCACCAACAGATCAACTCGCAGAAGATTCCATTCCTTTGTCGCTCAAACACTGCCCCTAGATTGTTACTGTTAATTAAGTTAAAATGTTGAAAATAATGGTTGCCCTTCATACATATTAAGTGTGGAAATATGTTTTTCTTAGCAGAGAGCCTATAAAAGCAGTGGCAAGACAGCCTAGCCTGCGAGGGCACCACGGGGTGGCCCAGAAACCGGAGTCCCTGGGAGGTGATTTATAAGAGGCGAGACAGGGAGATGAATTATGGTGGAAGGAGTTTGCAGCTTCTTCATAAAAATCCTGGTGCCTGGCAATTATGAGGCGCAAAACCAGAGAGCGGATTAATGCAAAGTGTCCTTTGGTTGCCATTTTGCTAGTTTATGTTCTATCGAGTTTGACTGTTTCTGCCCAGCCCCAAATCTTATGTGGCGTCCTGCTTGCCGGGTCCCAGGGCACTGAAATCAGAGGCACCTCAGTCCTTTGGTTTCTTTAATGGCACCCTTGGGATTCAGCTCCAGGCCTTGCCTGAGACATGGTGATTCTAGAGCAATCAGCTGTCTCTTCTGGGGAGGAAGCCAGTGGTGGAGAAAGTGTGTTTAGGGAGCCTGCCGCATCTCTTCTGGATTTCCATGGGTACCCCTGAAGAAGGGGGGCTGGGGCCAGCCTTGGCTCTGCAAAGGACCCGGGCCACTGGGCCTGTGGCAGCCTGCCCCAGACAGAGCATGTGGGTCCAGAGGCCGCGTGACCAACCAGAGAACCGATTCATGTCTCTGTCCCTATTAGAACCTTGATCTCAGGGATCCCTGGGTGGCGCAGTGGTTTGGCGCCTGCCTTTGGCCCAGGGCGCGATCCTGGAGACCCGGGATCGAATCCCACGTCGGGCTCCCGGTGCATGGAGCCTGCTTCTCCCTCTGCCTGTGTCTCTGCCTCTCTCTCTGTGACTATCATAAATAAACTAAAAAAAAAAAAAAAAAAAATTAAAAAAAAAAAAAAAGAACCTTGATCTCAGACTGGAGGGATGTGGAAGACCCATTTCATCATCTCCTCGGGTTAGAGAGAAACGAATGACTGCACAAGATACTCAGAACCCCTTGGCATCTAAAGTAAAGGGCACGAGGAGCCAGGTCTGGCGGCCCACTTTTCCGGAGGCCCCACCGCCTGGGTTCTGTTAAGCCTGCCCTGTTTTCTTCTGGGTTCTTAAGTGGCAGCGGCTCGGGTGAGCCTTCCATGAGCAGCATCTTCTTTCCCACTCTGGGCATTTGCTCCCACAGCATCCCCTCCTTCTCTCTGAAGACCCCCAGCTCGGCTCACCCTTCCCCTGTAGGCTTCTGACCCGTGCCAGCCCGCGAAGACCTCGCCCTCCAGGGAGCTCAGCACTCACCATCAGCGGCGCTTGCTGGGCAATTAATCATGTCCTGTCTCGTGCCATCTCCCTTGTTTTCTATCGTTAGTGAATTTTTCATATGTCTGTACCTTGGCTCCTAAGCCTGCTCCTTGAAGACAGAGGTTCCTCAGATCTCCTTGTATGCCTGGCCTCTCACCCAGGGTGGCCCTTTGTACTGCAGAGATGCTCAGCAAATGTTTATTGGCTTGTTAATTGAAAATCTCTCCCGAAGGCCAGGCAGGGGTGGGAAAAGGTGTCGCTTGTGGGAGCTGCTGTCACTTTTGAGTGGTGTTAGGGAGGAGTGAAGGTAGAAGAGCGGCAGCTGGAGTTTGGGGTGAGCTTGGGTCCGGGTGTTCCATGCTGTCCTCAACATGGCTGGCATAGCTGATTAAATGTGGGCATATCGAAGGGACACTTGTCCCTTAGACTGAAGCCACCTCAGTGCTGAATAAGGTTCTGAGTCACCTGGGCTACACGGGGGAACCAGGCAGCCTGGGGGATTTCCTACCCGAATCTTCTGGAGCTCACTGTAGGTGAAGATGGGAACGAAGGCTTCTGTCTGGGAGGCCAGCATGGCAGCCACGTGCACCACCAGCAGAGCAGCCACGGCCTTTCGGGACACCATCCTAGGGCTGGACAGTGACAAGAAGCTCTGTCATTGGGTTCAGGGTGCACACCTTGCCTGCAGCTGTGACCTGGAGCGAGCCGCCGAGACTCTCCTGATGTGGATAGGCTGCGGGGCTTTACTGGAGCTCAGAGCCCCTTCTGTGCCAGAGCCAGGGGACGTGAGCGAGCACCCGGGAGAGGCGGCCTGGGCCCTGCCACAGGCTGGGAGAAGTGTTCTACATGTTGGGCCCCCTCTTTGTTACAGGTCAGGTCTTCCAAGGCCAGCAGGGCTCCTGAAGTGGGAAGGACTCCATGTTTCAGAAGAAAGACTAGATTATCCACAGAATTGTGCCCCATTTGAGCCCTTCTGCTTCCTGGGCTGATCGGGATGACAAAAGAGATGGACCCAGGCTCAGATGACCCTGGCAGTCCCTGAGAGCACCAGATAAAGACCCTGGGTCTGGAGAGAAAGGGGCTGGAAACTTCTCCCCAGATGGAGGCAGAGTCAAATGGAAAGTTCCAGGAGGAAACAGCACCCAAGAGCTGGAAGCAGGGTCTCTACCCCTATGGGGGCCAGCCCTGGGTCTGGAACAAGATTCTCCTGAGCTCCAGCTAGCTGCATGTTGGTCTAGAAACAGGGAGTGCATCCTTTCCCTGCGCCCACTCCCTGCACAGCTGAGAATGCCACCAGTGCTGGGGGTGCCTGCGTGCATGCATGGGGCTTCCTGTGTCCCAGGAGTGGGAATGTCTGCAATGTGGATAGAAAGGTGGGCTGTGGATGGACCCCTGCCGGGGAGCAGAAGGGGGTGGTGACCCCAGGAGTGCAAAAGCTTAAAAAATAGGCTCAGTTGGGCCGGTCAGGATAGTCCTGTGGTTGGGGGAGGAGGGTACTGCCCACTGGGTGCCTGTCTCAGTTGATTCCTTACCCTGGTGCACGGAGTCCTCTTCCAAGCCCTGTCCCACACCATCCTTGCCCTCACCTGGGAGCAGGTGCAATCTGGGGAGGGGAGGAGACCTAGACAGGCTAAGGGGACTCATTCAGAGGTGGCAGGGGCTGGAAGTCTGGCCTTCTGAGGCCTGCTGCTCGGCCCTGCACCCCACTCTGCATTGCCTCTGCACGCAGAGGGCGGGGAAGGGCATGGCGGGGGCAGCCTGTTGAATACTATTGGAGCACCCACATTCCTGTGGCGAGTGGGCTGCTGAGCGCAGGGCCAGGCACCAGAGCAAAGAGGGGAGGCCAGGGGCAGCCCTGCCGTGGCAGGAGTGGGGTGACTAAAAGGTTGCAGAGGAAGAGCTTCGGAGGAGTCAGCTCGGGGCTCCCACAGCCATGGGGCAGCCTGGATTCTGTTAATAGAAGAGGGTCCTGCCCTGGACTAGCCTCCAGGCTTCTCATAGGTCCAACCCCAGTTACCCCTGTGGAGAGAATCTTCCAAGGCTGTGGGCTTGCAATCGGCCTCTCCTCTGAGACCCTTCTCCTGGGTCATCTGAAGCCACCTCTACTAAGCACCTCCCTAAGTCACCTCCCTTTGCCTTCTTTCGATCCTTCCGTCCCCATCCTACTTTTTCTCTCCATCTGGCTAATACCCCATGAGAAAGCATATGAGAGCATGACAGCCAAAGCTTCTCATGCCAGCTACATACGATTTCCTAGTAAGGTCAGAAGACTGCCCTCCCTCTGAAGACCACCTCTCGGGAAGCCAAGACCCTGTCCAGGAGCCCAGGAGGACCTGGAACAGAACAGAGGATGGGCGGAGTGGAGGGCTCCCGATCATGATTCCCCCTCCTGTTCCTGTCCTTTCCTTGTGGAGTCTGTTGGGCCCCGATTTCCCTCCCAGTGGAGATGGATGTGTCACATTTATGGCATCCCATTTCCTTCATGGAGATGCTATAGAGCCCTTTTCATTCTGATGTTCAGATTTAATTCACTTCATAAGAATCAATAAAAACTTTAAATAAAAAAAAGGCAAAATCCAATTGCTGCTCATTTTCTTGATCCAACTGGCAGTTGGCATGTCACCTACATTCATTTGTGTTCCTGGGAGCTCGGAGTGGGAGAGCTTTTCACTGTATGATGAGATACTGACTTCCTTTTCTATCTCCAGGGATGGGGCTCCAGCCTTCAAGCCATCAGCTCTGGATGGGGGGCGCCTGCCCCCTCCCTCCTCTCCCACAGTAGCACAGGCTCCCTAGGCACCAGCTTAACTGCTAACTTTCCAGAGAGAAGCCTCTGCGCCGAATAGGGTCCTGTGCCCGTGCTGGGCTCTGGCTTGGGTTCTTGGCCTGTAGTCAATGGCACCATGGACCCCAGACAGCCTCTCCTTTGCCAGAATTGTACCCACCGCTCCTCCATCCAGATTCTGTGCCCAGGGAAGTCCTGCTTTTGCTCACACTCTGTGTGGCTTTAACCTGCTCCTCGGGAAATCAGCTCAGCACTTTCAGCCTTAGCCTAGCTAAGTATTTGAAGGTGGCTGAGGGGCATAGATGTGATCTCTGGACTGGGCTGGGCTGGCTCTGGTCACATCACTGTTCTGTCCTGGGTCTTATGCTAACCGCCCCCTCACCCCCTTCTGTGGCTACTCACAGCAGCACGTCGGAGCAGGGCTGGCGGAGTCGGTCTCTGCTGTCCTCTGCTCTCTGGCAGATCTGACCGGTCTTTATATCTGGTGTCTGGCTGGTCTGATGGGCCCTCGGGCCCTCCCTTAGGAGCCCGTTAACCTTTGGCCACCCCTTGGGGGCTTTGGGTGGAGAGCCTGGATTCTTGAAGCTCATGGAAACAATGGGCAGGACCTGCCACGCCGTGGACTTCTGGGGCTTTCCTGGAAGGCCTCTGCTTCAGACAACAGTCCAGGTTTGGTGGAGGCCAACTCCCACCCAGATGGCACTTTGTGGGCCACTTAGAACTCAGCTGCCACTCAGAGGGTCATTTTAACAAAAGCCCTTTCTTTTTTGTTACTTAAATATATGATGTTGTTGAGCGGCTCTGGACCAGCTCTTTAGTGATCAGATTCTCAGCATGTCAGGGAGAGTGCTGCATTAGAAAGATAGCTTGTCTTCACCCTCCGCCCCACCCCGAAGCCCCTCACAAAAGAAAGAAAGGGCTCAGGGGTGTGTGGCAGTTTCAATCAACTACTGAAAAGAAAATGCAGTCCAGACTCAAGGCTGTGGAGCACCAGAGGCTCTGTGGGAGCCAAGGAACGGTGTAAGGTGTGTGAGACAGAAGGTTTATGGGTTTGTAGCCCAATGGGGAAGAGGAGCCGCCAATCTGGGAACATCTCATGGTATTGCATAATTCGAATGACCAATTGAAAAATTTAAAGAGGGAAGGGGTGGGACGCCTGGGTGGCTCAGTGGTTGAGCATCTGCCTTTGGCTCAGGTCGAAATCCCAAGGTCCCGGGATCAAGTCCTGCATTGGGTTCCCTGCATGGAGCCTGCTTCTCCCTCTGCCTATGTCTCTGCCTCTCTTTCCGTGTCTCTCATGAATAAATAAGTAAAATATTAAAAAAAAATTAAGAGGGAAGGGGTGAATGTAATCAGGAGTCAGGCAGGGCTTGCAGCTGCAGCCGGCCAGTGCCATTTCTGGAACATGGTTGCGTCTCTGGCACCACTCAGGGAATGCTTGACATGAATGTTCTAATTAAGCCTCAACAGTGCCATGAAACTGGTGCTCCTGTATCTCCCATTTTACAGATAAGGAAACTGAGGCACAATTAAATAGCTCCTCTGTGACTCAACTGCAAGATCACTCTTTCTCTTTTTTTTAAAGTAAGTTCTAACCACTATGTGGGTCTCAAATTCACTACCCTGAGAGTTGCATGCTCTACCAACTGAGCCAACAAGGCACCCCCAAGGTCTCTTTACACAAGAGTCAAGGCTGGATATGGCCAAGTGTGGCAGTGGGTGGGAGTGGGGGCTTCTGGGATGCAGGGCACATAGGATGTGAAAAGGATGGCACAGGGTGGGGCCATCCCTGGAAGTCCCCTGTGTGGGTTGGGGAGGGTAGTTCCAGGGTCTGAATGTGGGGGGTTTAATGAGGGGAGAAATTGGGGCCCTCATGGTGCCTGGAAGGGGCTGAATTTCATGATAATTGTGTCATGCTGGAAGGTCACGCAGTGACTGTACTAGAGTACAGTCACGGGGGCAAGGTGAGTGGAGGCTGGGAGGTGTCTCAGACAGACTGCGAGGTCCAGAGGGTCTGGGCTAACAGAGGCTATTTCCCCAGGTGAACCTTGCTGGCCATTAGCACCTTTCACAGAGGCTGCCCCAGACATCCAGGTGGGGACTGCTTCTGGTCCAGGAACCCCTCCCCTGCCAGTCCTTCAGTCGGCTGTGGCTTTTCTCTCAGAAAAAAACAAATGTTTGCAGTGCTTCAAACCCAACCCACATAACTTCTAAATACCCTGCTCATCAAGGCTTCTTGCCAGCAGGGTCTCTGCATTCCACTCCAACACCAGGTCAAAGCTCCCCCAGCACGCTGGACCGCCAACTGTTGTTGGACATGTGCCCTGGGTCTCTGCAGTCTTTGAGATTTATCTCAGAGGAATTAGAGCCTGAAATGCCGGGACTTGGAACTGAGATGCCGTCCCCACTCCGCCCCAGCTTGCAAGAGTGGCTTTTAAGATGTGGTCACAGACCTCGGTGGAGACAAGGTGGTGTGAGGGCTGTGAAGGAGCCCACTGCCTTCCCAGGCTCCAGGAGGCTCCATCCGCACCACGGATTTCTAGGGGCAAGCGTGGGAGGGAAAAGGGTCGATATCTGTACCTCTAACACATAGACCAGGGACCAAATCCAGCTTGTGAGCTAAGAGTTGTTTATACATTTTTTAATAATTTAAAAAATTAGAAAGAGAAGAATATTTGGTGACATGTGAATTTAGAAGACATTCAAATTCTTGTGGCCATAAACAAAGTTCATTGGAATATGGCCACTCTCATTCATTTGTTTGTTATCTGTGGCTGCTTCTGGGCTACAAGCAAGGGAGTTGAATAGTTGGACCGAAACATTAAGACCCACAAAGCTGA